TCAGTTTGTTTCCTGAGATTAAGAATTCCTCATATCAGTGAGATCATGTGATACATGTCTTTCTCTGATTGACTTATTTCACTCAGCATAACACCCTCCAGTTCCATCCACGTCGTTGCAAATGGTAAGATCTCATTCCTTTTGATGGCTGCATAATATTCCATTGTGTATATATACCACATCTTCTTTATCCATTCATCTGTCGATGGGCATCTTGGCTCTTTCCACAGTTTAAGCCCGAATTTTTAAAACTGGGCAATGTTTCTAAAATTTTTATTATTTTATCTTTCTGGTTTTATTGTGATGTAACTGACGTAGAACGTGTTATTAGTTTTAGGTATGCAAGGTGATGTTTGATATGTGTCTGTATAGCAGAAGGCTCACCACAGCGACCCTTAACCTCTGTTGCCTCACAGGTTTGCAGATTTTTTTTCCCTGTGGTGAGAGTGTTGGCCATCTACTTTCTCAGCAACTTCCATGTGTCCGGTGCAGTACTGGTACCTGGAGTCACCATGCTGTCCTCACGCCCCCAGGACTTGTTTACCTGGGGGGGGGGTCAACCCGCCCCGCCGCCCCCCTGTCTGGCCCCCGGGCAGCCAGCGGGCTGTTCTCTCTCTGAGCAGCCTGTTGTCAGATTCCACGTGTACGTGAGATCACATGGTGTTTTCTGTCCCGACTTCTTTCACTTGGCATAATGCCCTCAGGGTCCATCCTTGTCATCAGCAGTGACAGAATTCCCTCCGCCCCCATTGGCTTCCGTATCCCAGGAGAGCTTTATCCGTTCACCCCCAAGATGAGCGCCATGGCGGCTCAGCTGTGACGAATGCCACTGTCATGAACCTGCGTACCTTCTCGAGCTCGACTTTAGGTTTCCTCTGGGTAAATGCGCAGAAGGGGGATTGCTGCATCATGTGGCTCTGGCTTTAATTTTTGGGGGCCTCCGTTCTGTTCTCCACAGTGGCTGCCCCAGTCTGCCTCCCCACCAACCTTGCACGAGGGCTCCTTGTCTTCCGCATCCCGCGCCAACCCCTGTTCTCTCTTGTCGTTTTGGTAATAGCTGTTCTGACAGGTGCAAGGTGATCTCTCGTGGTGGTTTTGATTTTCATTTCCCTGATGATGAGTGGTGTTAAACACCTTTCCATGTACCTAGTGGCCATCCCTATGTCTTCTTTAGAAAAATGCCTAGTCGGTTTCTTTGCCTGTTTTATTTTTTTAAATTTTTTTAAAAAGTAGGCTCTGCACCCAGCGTGGGGCTTGAACTCATGATCCGAGATCAGGAGTCGGATTTCCACCGACTGAGCTGACCAAGCACCCCTCTTTGTCTGTTTTATTTATTTATTTAATAAAGATTTTATTTATTAGAGACAGAGAAAGCGACAGCATGAACTGGGAGGAGAGGGAGAAGCGGGCTCCCTGCAACGCAGGAGTTGATCCCGGGACCGTGGGATCATGACCCGAGCCAAGGCAGATGCTTCACCAACTGAGCCACCCAGGTGTTCCCTCTTTGCCCATTTTAAAATCAGATTTTTTTTTTCACTGTTGAGTTGTGTGAACTCTTTATATATATTTTTGATATTAACCGCTTATCAGATACATGATTTGCAAATATTTTCTCTCATTCTGTAGGTTGCCTTTTCATTTATTTTGAAGATTTTATTTATTTATCTGACAGAGAGAGAGCACAAGCAGAGGGAGAAGCAGACTCCCCGCTGAGCAGGGGTTTCCTGATGCAGGGCTTGATCCCAGGACCCCGGGATCATGACCTGAGCTGAAGAAAGCGGCCTAACCGACTATGCCACCCAGGCGCCCCTGCCTTTTCATTTCGTTGATGGTTTACTTTGCTCTGCAGAAGCTTTTAACTTTGATAAAGTCCCACTTGTTTATTTTTGCTTTTGTTGCCTTTGCTTTTGGAGCCAGATCTGAAAAACCGTCGTCAAGACTGATCAAGGAGCTTACCGTAAGCCTGTGTTTTCTGCTAGGAGTTTCATGGTTTCCAGTCTTTATCCATTTTGAGTTGACTCAAGAAATATTTTTAAATGAATGTTTGAGAAGCCAAGTGAAGCTTCTTTCCGGTTCTCTGGGGTTCCCCTGGCCTCTGCCCAGGTTACCATGACTGCTGCCCCGAGCCAGTGAGGCAGGGCCAGACAGCACGTGACCTGAGTGGGTCTCGGTTCTCATAGCCGGCTCTCCCCCAGGACGAAGGGGTCACACTTGGGGGTGGGCAACAGTCCTCTGTCAGTCACGGCAATAGGTCCGTGCTCATTTGCCGAGAAAATCACATCTTCTGGCTCTGTCTTGGAGCTTCCAACCTTCTTGCAGTCGGTTGGGTAAATATTTACCTGGAGGGAAGAATACTGCTGGTGAGCATGCATTGTATTGGCCGTGTGCCAGGCACTGCAGCTGGGCTTGTTATCTGCATTATCTCGCGTGAGTCTGTCCTCCCCCGGTCAAGTGCAGTGGTTCAGTTTTGCCTATTTTAAAGACAAGGAAGTGGAATAATGAGAGTTTGGTCAGGTCGCCCAGCTCACGCATAAGAGCGGGAGCCAGGAATGATCTCGGAGTCTGACTGGCCAGACTGAGCTGCTGAGTGGAGCAGTCAGGAGATCCTAGCCCCAGAGGGTGGTGGAGTTCCCTGGCCCTGAGCCCCCGAGCGGAGGGTGCCGGTCCTGGGGGCTGCACTGGGTGAGCCCAGGTGGTCGGCGGGCATGCTGGAACTGTGGCATGTGCTCTGCCTGTCCCCTGTCTCCAGGCTTGAGACTGCTGAGGGCAGATTTCATTAGCCTGACTGTGGTTTGGGAAGGTGCCAGCTCGGCTGGGTTTGCCCACTGTAGGAGCACCAAGCTGGCTTCTTGGAATTCCAGAGATTTCTTGGAGTTTCCCTAGCACTGGCTGCCCACAGCAGGGATGCAGTTTTTCCTCTTTGGGGCAATGGGTGGCATTTCAGTCTCCCCCGACCCTGGAGGGCTCCCGGCTCTCGATCCCAGGGACTCAGCCCCCTCAGGTGCCCCCGAGGAGCTCGGCAGGCTGGGGCAGGTGGTGCCAGGTGTTACCCCACTGACAGGAGTCTCAGAGCCGTGGCACGTTTCCACTTCTCAGAGAAGCCGAGGCTACATGCATTAGCCCCTCTGGGACTCCTGAGGGTGGTCTTCCACGGGGTCACGGCCTATGTCCTGGTGCTCATTCAGCCCTATTGGTCGTTGGGTAGCATGGGAACCAGGAGGGGCAGGTGTGCTGGGAACCCCAACGGCCATGCTGCCGCCTTGCTGCCTTTGCCAGAGGCCCCTGCTCTCACCCCTTCCTGACTGGGTGTCTGCGGCCCCGGGCATATAGTCCCACTGTCTGTCTGCCTGCCTCCCTCCCTCCCTCCCTCCCTCCTGTGGAGACAGGACCCTGCAGCCCCTTGTCTGGGGCTGTCAGATCAGCAGCCCACTCTGACCAAACTCCCGGGAAGCTCTTCTTCCTTCTTTGGGAGCCTTTGGTCTCTTTGGAGGACCTTCTCCTCACCCCAGGTTGTCGCTGTTCATGAGTAACATCCTTCTCAAGGGCGTCATCCTGCTGCTTCTCTCTCCTCTGCCTAGGATCATGCGACCGGATGATGCCAATGTGGCTGGCAACGTGCATGGTGGGACCATCCTGAAGATGATCGAGGAGGCAGGGGCCATCATCAGCACCCGACACTGTAACAGCCAGAATGGGGTAAGTATCTGCGGACTGTCACCCAGCCCGCTTGGGATCACCTGAAAATTGCAGGCCCGGGAGGCCTGGCGTCCCTTTGTGTGTGGCATCGTACCACTCTTGGGTCGGGACAGGAGTTTGCTTGGAGTGTTCCCCTCCTTCATCCCCTGGGCCTTGGGAGCTTCTGGAATCCCTGGATGGGACCCATTGGAATGGTGCTTGGTTTGGGATGTTTGGCATGTTTGGGATTCATCAAGGAGGGGTGGGGGACAGTCAGAGAGTAAGCTGGGAGCTGGCTGAGAGCTGCCTTTAAGCTCCTCCCCCTCCTTCCAGAAGAGTCTTGGTTTCTAGAATCCCCTGGAGCCTGGCTGCCCTGGGCCTGACCCCTCCCCTGCCCCGTCGACACCCCCAGGGGTGGGGTGGGGCCTGGGCAAGCACTGGCACTCTTGCCAGGGAAGCCCAGCGAAGCCCTGCCGGAGTGCCTGGGATAAGGGCCAGGCTTTCTGCTTTTGTAACTTGGGCAGCTGGGGGGCATTTGGCTCATCCTTTCCTGCCCTGCCTCCAACCCCGAGGGACCTGACTTCTCCTCTCGAGGCTTCCCCAGCCGCCTTTGCTCGGGGAAGGGGTTCTGTCTCGCGCCGCGCTGCCACCTGGGGGCCGGCAGAGATGCAGTGCCACTAGCCTCTGTCCCCGTGGGCCTGGGGCAGCCACCTGCTGTGATGAGAGGAGGAAGGCATGCTCGCTGGAGGGGGGGCGGGAAGGAGACAGAGCAGCGTGCATGCATGTGTGTGTGGGGGGGCACCAAGCCAGGGGGAACGTTTTATTTATTTATTTATCTTTTTTTTAAAGATTTTATTTATTTATTTGAGAGAGAGAGAGAGGGAGAGCACAGAGGGAGAAGCAGACTGCCCGCTGAGCAGGGGGCCTGGTGTGGAACTCGATCCTAGGACCCTGAGATCATGACCCGAGCCAAAGGCAGACGCTTAACTGAATGAGCCACCCAGGCGCCCCTAGGGTTAACGTTTTAATGGGTGGATACGGGCCAGGGGGACCTCGGTGTGCTGTGAAGGAGGGGCTCCCCTGCCCAGCTAGGAGTCTGGATTTGTTCAGGTGCCCTGAGAGTTCTGGGGCAAACCAGGCCGTGTTCAGAGTGCGCCCTCTGGTGGTGGCGGAGAGGATGGGCCTGAGCTTGTCGGGTTGGGGGGGCGGGGGGGCGGGGGGGCTGGTGGGAGGGCCCAGCACCTGAGAGACAGACAGGGAGGGTCTGGGCAGGCCTGGCGGGAGAGGCCTGGCACTGGGAAGGAGAACTTTAGGATGGCGGAATGGGGGAGAGGGGAGCCTTGGGTGGCGAGGACCCACGAAACTGCTGCTGGGTAGCATTTTGCAAAGCTCTGAAGTGCTTCTGCTCATATAATCCTCCCCACACTGCATTATTATCCCCGTGACCCCAGTTGCACAGGGGAGGAAGTGGAGGTACAGAGAGGCTGCATGCTTGCCCGAGGCCGCCGGGGGAAGCTGGGGGTAGGTCTGGGCCATGAATCCTGGCCTCAAACCTGTGCTTTGAGCCCCTGGAGGGAGCCTGGGGGTACAAGAGGAATCATTTTGATGTGTTGGCTTGCAGGTCTCTGGACTGGTGGTCCCAGGGTAGGGGTGCAGAGAAGTTCCAGGCTTGGGAGGACGTGTGAACCCCAGGCAGCTCCAGGTGGTTAGATGCTGGCATGGGGGCCAACGGTGGCCTCTGAGGGGCTTCGCTGGGGCTCTGGGTCAGGGAGGGGGCACCCTCACCCCACTTCCCTGGAGGTCTCATCCAGTCTATGCCTTTAGTACCGTCATGTAGCCCTGGGGTTCTGTTTCCAGCTGGGACCTCTTGGTTGGCTCCATCTGGATACTTAGTTGGCCCCTTGACCTTGATGGGCCCGAAAAGACACCCTGGACCTGTCCCCAGGCTGCTCCTCCCACAGTCTCCCTCTCCTTTGTCCATGACTCTGTGGCATCCGGTTACCCACACTCAGAACCTGGGACCTTCAGTGACCCCGTTCTTCTGTTGCGGGCACTGGTAGCCGATCCTGTTGGCTCCACCTGCTGGGTAGTTGTGGATCTGAGCACCAGCCAGCTCCCGGATCGCACCTCCCATGCCTTCCCTTTAACATTCCCTTGGCCCACACTGGCTCTCTTGCTGCTGTGTGAGTGGCCAGCGTTCCTACCCCAGGGCCTTTGCACTGCCTCTTCCCTCTGCCTGAGCTCCTCTTCCCCCAGATATCTCCATGACTCCCCCTCACCTCCTTCCAGTCTGTGTAAATATGACCTCCACTGAGGCCTTTCCTGATGACCAGCTCCCTCCTTGCTCCCAGCTGTTCTCCACAGCACTGTCGCTCCTAGAACATTGTGCGTTTTGCTCATTTATCTTTGGTCTGCTCACCTCTCCCCTCCACCCCCGTTAGAGTGTAAGCCCCTTGAACGGAGGGACTTTTGCCTTCCGGGTCCCTGCTGGATGCTCAGCATCTGGGTGGAGGCCTGGAACACAGTGGACTCCCATCGGTGATCTGCTCATTGCCAGTGTCCTATGGAGCACTTCCGTTTAATAGGCACTTACGGTGCACCAGCTACCACACTGTGTGCTTGACCTTTTCTTTGCGGAATCTTCCTGACCGTTGTCTTAACCCCACGTTGTGGGGGAGGTGCAGAGGCCTAGAGAAGTTACATGGCTTCCTGAAGGCAGAGTGGTCTCCTCTACGGTAGTGTCCGCTGAGTAGGGCAGGTGCCAGCCGAACGGTCGTAGTTGTGGGAGCGAACTTTCTGGACCCACTCACGCCCATGTCTGATCCCCACGCATCTGTGAGAGGGGGCGGCTCACCCCCCTCTCCACGGATCATGCCCTTAGGTCCTGGTGGCACCCTGCTGGCCCCACTTACTTCAAGAGCCAGGGAGCGGCAGAGCTGGGAGTTCAGCCCAGGGCCCCTCGCTGTCCATTCTGGCTCTGCATCAGCAGCTGCTATCCTGGCTCCACGTGCTGTGGCCGCTCCGGAGCCCAGCCCCCATGGTCCCCCCCCCCCCCCCGCCGAGCCCGGTGAGCACCGTGATACCGGTCACCTCTGGGAGTACGGCGGAGGGCACTTCCTGGGGTAGACTAATGAGAATGCTCTGGGTGGGGGCTGCCCCTCCTGCTTTAAGCCCCCGAAGCAGGGAGGTCCAGGGCTGTGTCTGAAGCACAGGTAGCCAGAGGTGTGTTCAGCTTGGAGATCCTCCTACTGTGTACAGATGTTCATTGGCTCCTGTTTTGAATTTTTGGGTCACACCTGTTCTTCACAGAATGCCTGAGGCGGGCCCAGTGCCCTGCTAGGCCCCTGGACAGCAGCTCACGGTCAAGGTGCCTCTGCCCTGGGTCCAGGCCCATGCTGCCTGAGCCCCAGCCTGGTGGAGAGCCCCCAGGCAGCCCACCCATCTCTTAGGCTGCCCTATAAACATTCATTCTCTCTTTTAGAACCAAGCTTAAGATTCCTAACAAGCAGCTTCCAACCCAGAAGAGCAGGTTTGAGGCCTGTGCCAGGCCTGAGGGCTTCCTGTGGCAGGTGTGTGTTGACAGCGTTCCTGAGAGTGTGGAGAGCTGCTCTGTATCCTCCTGGGTCACTGTGTCCATGTTCCAGGTCATGGAAGGGAACAGAAACGCCACCTGCCAAAAGTTCACACCACCCTGAAGTGCAGGGACTAAAAAGTCAGCCAGTCTGCTCGTCTTCTCTGCCCCCCTGGCCGAGTCCTGGCCCCACACCTCCCCTGGCCCTACAGGCCCTGCTGACCCCTTAGCTTGCACCTCCTGCTGTGCACCCCTCCCCCCCAGCCTCCACCCTGCACAGTCCTGCCTGCTCCCCGCTCCCCTGGGGTACAACTCCATACCTGCCTCCTCCCGATTGACATCATTTCACTCGGGATGCGCCCTCTGTGGGGAGGCCGCCCCCTACCCCCAGCGCTTCCCACACTGCCCCCTTCAGAACACTTGCCACCGTGGGGCATTGTCCTATTTTACTTATTTATCATTCGTCCCCCTGTCTGAACCCAAGCCGAGGGCAGGCGCTCTGACTCATTCCCCTGAGTCCCGCACCAGGTGCGGAGCCTGGCTCCACGCATGCCACTATTTCCCGCCTGATCTGCGATCTCGGGTCCCCTGGCATACCCGCAGTCAGCCACGGCCCAGAAGCAGGTGACCCTCCCTCCGACGGAGCATCAGAGGGTCAGTAGTCGCCTAATCTGCGTCACCTGCCCACGTCGTTCCCCTCCGTCATCTCAGCACGCAGGCATTTCTCCTCCTTCCAGCAAGAAGTACACCGAGATGGAGCTCAGGTCCGTCCAAGACTAAGCTGCATTCCCATTAAAAATGATTCATTTTATACACGCACGTATGCTACCCGTGTGTGAGTGTAGCCATACCAAAGTTTAACTGCTCTCCAGTGGAGACACCTGGTTTCATTCGGGTTTGGGTCTTGCTGACAGCGCTTGGATAATTCCACCAAGCCGCCCCGAGGCGGGGCCTCTGTTCCTGTCCTGCTCGGCTCTGCAGGTGCCTTTCCAGCTTTCTGCCAGTGGGTGGTGCTGTAGCCACAGAAGTCTACTTAGAGGCGCACTTTGTTTTAGGGCCAGTGTGACTTAGGGGGCGAGTAGGGGGGAAGCCGGTGCAGATCAGAGTGGCCACAACTTAGCCCTGGAAACTTTCCCAGCCACTCTGGTCCCCTGCTTGCTGAGACCTGACTCTGGCACGTTTATAGGAACAGAAACTGGAGGAACCCCCAACCCTGTGTTCCTGACTCACCTGGGAGGCGCAAAGGTGCAGGTTCCCTGGCTGTCCTTCCAGAGAGGCAGGGGCAGGTCCCGTCGGCTTGACGTGGGCCAGGGAAGTTGCATGCCCCAGAGGCGGCAGGTGGGCTCTTGCACAGGTGCCCCAGGAGGTACCACCGGCCCTCAAAGTGACCATTACTGCAAGCTCAGTGGACGAGGGGTACTGTGAGGATTAACTGGGAAAGCGAATACCAGAGCAGGCAGGGCCGGATGGGCAGGCTCTCAAAGGTGAGCCCCCATCTCCCACTCCCTGCTCCCCACCCAGCCAGGGGGTAGCCGGGGGGGGGGGACCTTGCACACCTGTACCCAGCCTCCTAGAAAAGAGGGTTGATTCCCGGGAGAAAGCAATAGACGTGCCAAGTGCTCTGCTTGGCAGTGAGGGTCTGAGGTCCCACAGTTGGGACTCCAGCATCTTGTGTCATTCAGTTCGAGCAGACGACGTGGAAACAGTTCTTTGTGCCAGTCCCGGCTGGGGGCAGGGGATGGGGGAGAGAGAGGCACTGCTGTCCTGTTGAGAAGTACTTCGAGAACATACACTGAAGTGTCCCTTCAATCTGGGAAACAGCCCCCAATACTGAAAATGATTTAAGTAAAAGGACACCCATCACAGGATTGTTTATGATAAGCAAATGGATCCAACTGGACCCAAGTCTCTGATAACGGAATATTCCATTCAATTTGGCCATTAAACATACTTTTGCAACGGGGTGTCATGACGTCAGTCATGGAAAGGGCCATGCAGAAGAATGAGGAAGTCTGTCACCTTCGATAGAGAACAAGCACCAGCGTAGACTGTCGCGTGCCGTCCAGGTGGCACTCCAGGCGTGGGTGTCCTCGGTGGCCGCGTCGATCCCTTACGGAAGGGGTCCTGGGTGTCTGGGGACCAGTGACAAGATGCACACCTGGTACCCTGTACCCTTTCCTTCCTTTCAATTTTGAGTCCTGCAAATGGGCTCCTATTTGAAGGATAAATAACAGTTAAATAAAGGAATATTGATTGCGAAGCACCATTTGTAATGCAGGCAGGTTATTTTTCCTTGTTTTGAGTAGAAAAAAAGCAGGTTGTGGACACGTATGTTTATGTTTGCCTGACTGTATTAGACTGAATAACTCAAACGAACCAGGGAGATCCCATTTTTGGGGAGAAGAGCCTGGGAAGGAAGATCCTGAAATAGAACACTGGGTTCTCTTTGGACGGGAGGAGTGATTTTTCCCTCTTCGGTCTACTTCATTGGGTATTTCCCAAACTTTCCATAATGAGCATGTCTTTTTTTACTTTCCATTATGGAAGTAATACACGTCTTTTGTAGAAAAATTAGAAAAAAGAAGCCACTGCTAACCCTCACTGCTCAGAGAATCCCACTGGTGTCCCCATGAGGCCTTTCTGTGTCTCCCGTGGTTTTGCAATTAGGAATGTGTGATGTCAATAAATGGCGTTACTTTCACAGTGGGAAAAAGAAAGGCCACTTTCGAGGAGCACGTCCAGGGTTGGGGCTAACCTGTCTCTGGTCTCTGCAGGAGCGCTGTGTGGCCGCCCTGGCCCGCGTCGAGCGCACCGACTTCCTGTCACCCATGTGCATTGGTGAGGTGGCGCACGTCAGTGCAGAGATCACCTACACCTCCAAGCATTCCGTGGAGGTCCAGGTCAACGTGATGTCCGAAAACATCCTCACAGGTAACTTGTGCACGCGTCTCACCAAGCCAGCTCGATCGGGACTGGCGCCAGCAGCAGCCGTAGCTCACGTTGATGGGGGACTGACCCTGGTGCCATCCATGAATGATGTCCATTACTGCAAGCTCAGTGGACGAGGGGTACTGTGAGGATTAACTGGGAAAGCGAATACCAGAGCAGGCAGGGCCGGATGGGCAGGCTCTCAAAGGTGAGCCCCCATCTCCCACTCCCTGCTCCCCACCCAGCCAGCTCCACCCAGGAGCAGATACTTCTGCCATTCTTGTTCTGCAGGCAGGGACAGGTTAAGCAGTGAGTCCCGACAGTGTGCTCCCCCAGTGGGATTTGAGCTCGGGCCCGGTGCGCAGCCACTGCCCCTCTCGGCTTCCCCGGGCGGTGGCCTGGTGACCGGCTCCTCAGGGGCAGAGGGGTGGCAGTGGGCTGGGAGGGCACCAAGCCGCCCTCCGGCCCCCTGCTGTCTCCCCACCACCACCACCTGCCTTGCTGTTCCCTGGAGGTGGGGGGCCACTGGCTGGGGGGGGAGGCGGGGGTGGGGTGGGGGGCCCTGCCCTGCCCTGCCCTGCCCTGCCCTTATCCTTGCACCCCTGGCCCTGCATTCCAGGCTTAGGCTGAAGCTCACTGGGCGAACCTTTGACTCTGGTTTGATCTGAATATTCTCTTTCTCAGAGTGGTAACCATGGAAACCCCTTTTCATCCTCCCACCAGGCTCTGCAGGGGAGTGTGGCGCAGCTGCTTTTTATAACCGGGCTGCTGACTGGGAAGGCAGGCCCCTTTGTCCGCTTGCTGCCCACCTCCGGGTCCCACGTCGTCCATGCAGAGGGCAGGGTCCTTGGGTCTGCCTCCTGATGCCCCTCGCCCCTTCCTTGGCCGTGGCTGCCTGTAGGTGCTGTGCTCAGAGGTCTTTCAGGGGCTCAGACTTCTCCCCTCCCTGGGCCTAGAGCACAGTTATCCCTCTGGAACATCCCGGTGACCTCAGCAGGCCCGGCTGCGGTGCAGTAAATGATTTAGCCGAGCAAGGGCCTGAGCTCGGGGAGCACTCAGCATCCCTGTGCCCTGTGTTTGTGGCCAGGCCCTGTTGCAGCCCGTGGCTCTGGCACTGCAGGGACCATGGCACAGAAAGGGGTACCCGGGCATGGTCTTCTCACGATGGGGCCTTGGGGTCCCAGTCATCGTTCCCTGTGCTCTGTCTCTCTGTGGCCCAGGCCTCCTCCCCTGGGCTGTGCTGGGCTTGACGGGAAGTCACTGGCTTTGCTGCTGTCAATCTTCAGGCTCTCCCCGTGGCCGTCCCAGCAGGGTCGCTTTCTCATGGTGATTTTCAGCGGGAGCCAGGGACTTCAAATGGGGGAGGGGCCCCTGAGGAACAGAAAAAAAAAAGTCTCTCTGTTGGCGATGGGGAAGAAGCCAGGAGAAAAAGTGGAGCTCAGCCCCACGGCTTTGGACCCCCCGCATGGTGACTCTCAAGGGGACCATTTTGGTTGTCACCACTGGGGCAAGGTGCTGGCATCCAGTGCGGGGGTGGGCAAGGATGCAGCTGCACAGCCTGAGCGCACAGGGGGGTCCCCACCACGAAGGGTGACCCAGTCCTGTATATATGTTCCTGTGCCAAGGCTGAGAAGCCCCGCCCTCGACCGTGAACTCTGGAGGGAGAGGGTCATGTCTTCCTGGCGGCTTCTCTTGGCTCATAACAGGCATAGAGCTGATAACTACAGGTGAATGAATGACGGAGTGAACGCATGACCACGTGAACAGAGGCTGTTGGGAAGGTTTGTGTTTCTGTGCGGAGATGGGAAGCTGACAGAGGGTTTTGTCTGGAACGACACGCTCTGCCTGAATTCTAAGGGATCGCTCCCACTGTGGGGCAGGAGGCTCTCGCCCGGAGCCGTGGCGGAGAGATGGCAGCCCTCTACCCCACCAGTAAGGATGCACCCCCTGCCCCCCAAGCACCTGGTCGCTCAGCCTCGGCTTCGCTCCTTCCCTGCAGGATGGGCACACAGATCTGATGTGCCCTGTGAAGGAAGAACTGGCAGTGAGGAGAGGTGCTGCGGGCGTCCACCCTCACGGGACAAGGGGGCAGGCTCTGTGACCCCACTGGGCTCTGCTCCTCGAGATGGGGCCTCCTGACCCTCAGGCCTCCCCTGTTACATGAAGGGGGCAGCCGCTCTTGGAGCCCTGAGGGCTGTGGCTGTTCTCCGTGTCTTGGTCATCTTCCCCAGAACCTCCTTCTGAGGGGCCAGATGCCTCCTTTCTCATTCCACCACTGTGGGTCTGTCTCTCTCTCTCTCATTTCTGCGTCTCTTTCTGTAATTGCCACATCTGTGCATCTGCATCTCTGTCGTACTCCCTCTGTCTTTCCAAGTTTGGATCCGTGCAGATCTCTCTTATTCTGGGACCCTGTGTCTCTCATGGCCTCCCTCTCTGTCCTGACGTGTGTCTTTCTGCCCACGCGTCTAGGGGGTGGCTGGTAGCTTCCTTGTCCCCTGCAGTCCCCCCACTGCCCACAGCAGTGCCTGGCCCCGTGGACCCAGGGTGGCTCTGACGGGGGGCGGGGAAGGAACTGAGACCCCAGGAGGCAGGGGTCCCCTGTCTTGTGTGTCCCCGTCCCCCGGGGCTGGGCTGCCCGTCAGGAGGCAGCCCAGCCAGTACACGCCAAGGCAGACAACCAGCAGACCTTTGCCTTCGAGACACAGCTCATTCATCTCCGGCAACTGTCAAAATATTAAGCTAACTGGGACATGATTGTCGCAAATTGTTCCAGAAAATAGCTGGGAGCTCTTAAGATTTTAAAACAGGTGTTTTTAACGCTGCAATTGTCTTTTGATGGTTTTATTAAATGACGGAGAAAGTACAATGAGCATGTTTGGCCTCATTTGCCCCGTGGTGCTCATTTGGGTCTGGAGGAGGGCCACTCCGGGTTTCCATGGAAACCGGCTTGTCAGGCCGGCTCTGGCAGAGTCAAACAGGAAATCTTTATTCCGAAAAGCAGGTTGTCAGATTCACTCTCAGTCAAAGTGCAGTGAAAATATTTTCCATGTTATTTGCCTGTGGTTCCCAAGCACAGGGAGCCTGTTGTCCTGCTGGGGCCACCGTGTTGGGGCCGAGTGCTGGTGGCGCAGGCCCGGGCGCCGGGGGCTCACCCTCCTACGTGACCGCAGGGCCCTTGGGGCTGTGTTCAGGGGAGGAAACCAAAGCCCCCGGCTCCCTCTGGGAAGGCAGGTCAGAAAGCACTGATAGAAAGGGAGCTCCACGAGGGGCTTTACAGAGGATGCCTGGCTCCTCCCCATCCTCCCCGCTTGCTTCCCTTTATTTCCTGCAGTTTTGCTGTTCTCTGCACTGAGGATCTTGTGTGTTGAGGAAGCTACTTTTTAAGGCATCCTTGCAAATATTTCCCTCAAAGTACTGGGACCTGGAGGTGTAGGTCTATACACAGAATAGCACTGAATTGCTGTGTGACCCTAGGTAAACCCCTTGACCTCTCTGGGCTCCAGCTTCCTCCTATACAAGTGGAGGGTGCGGTGGACCATGTGATCTCTGGACTTTTCTGGCCCCTGGTTCTCAGCCCAGACAAGGCCTCTCTGGTAGCCCCAAGGAAGGTTCTGTTTCCTGTCACTCAGCCCACAGTGGGAGTCAGCTGCCCACTGCCCGTCTCTCAGCACTCCACTCTGAAGTTTCTCGACTGAAGCTCTTGAGTCGGTGGCAACAAACCCGAGCGTCTGGTGTGAAGTCTCCCACTTGCAGGACGGGCCTTGCCCGGCTGGCCACGCAGCTGTGCTTCAGTTTATGGCCTGGCCACAGCCGCTCCCCAGGCTGCCCGCGTGGGCTCTGGCTCCATGTCTCCCCGAGCCTCATGTCCATGGGCCGCTGTCCTGGCCCCCGTCTGGCAGGAGCTCTTAGCCATGTTTAGCGGGTGGACGTTCCCTCGCTGAGCACTGTGGCTTGAAGCTCCCGAGCAGAGTGTATTCAATGGGAAGTTCAGGGTCTGCCGGATCTGTTTGCAGAAACTCGAGTTCAGCTGGGGCTGAGTGCCCTGGCTTTGTCCCCTCTTCTCCGGGAGGTGGCTGGTGAGGGCCCCACCCGAGGCTCCTCAGGCGTCCGGGCGTGTGGATGACCGGACTTCCCTTCTGTCAAACATCCATAAAGGGGCTGCAGTCGGAGCCCTCTGTGTTAGCAAATGCTGGAAAGCCAGGACCCCCAGACTTAAAGTGTATGCTCTGAAGCCTTTCCAGCAACCTCCAGAGGGGCAGCATTGGGGGGGGGCTCCCCACGCTCTGTGCCCACCCTCCCACCTTGTGTTTCAGCCTCACCTGCCCTGTGCTCTCCCTGTGCCATCACTCACGTGGTTTTTTTCTCTGAAGGTACTAAGAAGCTGACCAATAAGGCCACCCTGTGGTATGTGCCCCTGTCACTGAAGAACGTGGACAAGGTCCTGGAGGTGCCTCCAGTCGTGGTAAGGAGACCCCCTCCCGCTTCTCTCGGGGGGCAGATGGCAGAGGCTAGCCAGGTGTCCCAGGAGAGCAACAGAAGGGGCCGGGGGTCGGCTCGGCCGGTGGAGTGGGGTGTCCCTGTCTGGTATATTTGTGCAGGTTTTGTTCATGCTGGGAGTGTCCTGGTGGACGACCCTCCTGGAGGACCCTCCCTCACGTCCCCGACCAGAGGGGAGGCGGGGGTCCGGATGCTGTCGGGTGACAGGTCCTTCTGCGAGAGCCAGGACCTCCCGGCTGCCTGGCCCAGGCCAGCCGCTCTCCATCCCAGCCCCTGACGAGACGGAGGCTAAGACAGCTCTGTTTCCGCCTCTTCGCCCACTGTCGTGGGTTCTCTCACCCTGGTTTTGCTGCAGAAAGAAGTGTCTTTGCACGAAGGGAGCCCGTTGTGTTCGTTCTGGGCCCGCTGCGGGCACGCTCGGGTGGACAGGCTTTTGGAGGGTGAATGTTGTGCCGATAGAAGGATTTAGTTCCTTCCCGAAAGTTACGCCTCACCGCCTCCTGCGGCGCCCCCAGGACACGCGTGCTTCTCCCCCGTGGAGGCCCACCGCTCTGCTCTCACACCTAAGCTCCTCTGGAGGGAGTCACCCCGTGGTTCTGGCGGTGTCTGCCGTGCAGTGAGCATTTTCCTGCACTCGTACAGAGAACAGATTTTTAACATAACGAAACCAGGAGCCGCCGCTATAGGACTGGTACCTGCTATTTGGCGCAGAGCTCACAGAGAAGCTGGGTCCTCTCCTCCTCATATGGGGACGCAGGCCCTTCCTGCCTGGGGAGGCCTGCTCTGTCTCCCTGGCAGACCTTCCCACTTCCTGCACCCCTGCAGGTGTAACACTGCCGGGGGGGGGCACTCCCTGCAACCCCCCCACCTCTGCCCGTGCCAGCCCAGGGTCCGAGCGCACCCTGGGGGCAGGCGAGGCCTAGGTGGCATATCTCCCCAGATGGGGATGGCTGCCTGCGGGGCTCTAGCTGCCGTGCAGTCTAGATATTTAAACCGTCTTGAGACAGGGGAGCCCTCTCACGTTGAATGGGAAGGACGCTTAGACCTTGGCCTGGGTTGGCTCGGTGGCCTGCCCTTTGGTCCTGCGAGAGACGAGGTGAAGTGCTACTTCCCGCTGACGGTACTGGCCTCACCCGTCCCTGCACAAGCGAGGAGAGCGGGTGGAAGCTCACGGCCAGGCCACGGAGCCCAGCGGCTCCTAGGGATCACCCCTCTATGATGGTCCTGGGGCTGCTGGGACGGAGGCCCCAGGGGAGGACGCTTCCGGTGTCTTCCAGCTTCTAGTGGCTCGTGGCTGCATCCCTCCCACCTCTGCCTCTGACTGCCCCCATGGGGGTGTGCACCTCCTCCTCAGTCGTTGCCCTTGGGGTCCGTTCTGCTGCAGCGTTACCTCATCCAGACCCCGGTTCTGTCAGAGGTCACCACGTGCGCGATTTCCCGTGGGCGGGAATTTCGACAGACACTGTTCACCCCAGAGCACTGCCCTTCCGTGCGGCCCCACCTGCCCCCTCCCGCCTTCCCTGTCTCTCCTCTCCCTGCAGCACTGACCAGGGGGAGGCCCAAGACTCAAGAAACAGGAGTGAGTCTGAGGCACAGTGATTTTTCTCTTTAGAAATTACGAGCATAACCACCCCTGCTTTCATCTTTTGCACCAAGCACTTGGTGCTCAGTTAGCCGCATTGCATGTAAATACGACATAATTATTGAACCGATTTCATTTTCAGATGCCACAGATTGTAGAAGTCTCTGGCGGGCCATTCCCTGGCTTTGGCACCGGATGATACATGTTAAGGGGCTGATATTGAAGGAAGATTCTGGGGCTGAACACATGAGCCTTTGCTTCCTCTGGCTCCTCAGGGCCAGGGGGCTGAGAGCTTAGGGTCTTCAGCCAGCAGGGCAGGGGCGGGCGGCGTGCCGGTTCCCATCCTCCCACAGGGACAGGGCAGCTCTCCTCCCCGGGGAGCGCTCACCCCCGCATCCCAGAGGGGCCTGGAGTTTTCCCATCTCTTTTGTTTAGCCGGGTTTGATAAGGCATACATACCAACTGGGCCCTTGCAGAGACGGAAGCAGAGAGGGCTCCAGATGGGAGAAGCCATGCAGCTTCCAGCTGCAGCCGACGCCAATATTTTTGGGCATTCGCCCCCTCCACCACATGTGAGCCCCACATAGAAGCCTTCAGTTGATTTTGAAATACAGGTCTGCTGTTGTCCTTATCCGGACGGATCCTGGAAAGCTCGGAGTCTGGCGTTTATGCTCATCGCTGGTCGCGTGGCCACGAGGCTTTCTAATACTGCCCCACCCCCGAATCATACCACTGACCTTTTATAGACCGCTGTCCTTTATTTGAGACCACACACATCTGTCTGTGCAGGTGTGTGTGTGTGTCACGCACGTCTCTCACGTGTACAGTCGTACCACAGACATGTATGTCACACGCATCTCATAGAGCACACTCATGTGTGCATCTCCCTGGAAGAAACCCGGCTGTTCACCTTGTGCAGTGGTATTCAGTGTAAGACGCTGCCACTTGGCTCCACCCTCTTCCTCAGGGAACAGGGACCCCAGTATCCCTGCAGTGACCCTGGAGAGGCAGGGGGGCCCTCCGAGAGCAGACACTTTGGTTGTTGGGTTTTTTTCTTTTTTCCAGCGTCTGCAAGTGCGCTTGAGTTCAGAGTCTTGCCCAGGCCGTTGGACGTGTGCGCTGAGCTGGCTTTTGCTTCACATCAGCAGGGCTAGACGAGCCCTTGGGGGTGAGGGTGGGATACCAGCCCATCGTTGGGACTTCTAGCGATTTTATCCCTGATTCAGAGGCACCGTTGTGAGGAGGCTGCGTTTCCTCCATCTTCATGGCTCGTGTCTGGCTGGAGCCCTGCCAGCCGTGTGTGACAGCCCAGGCCCAAGCAGCATGTTCACACGGCCAGGACTTATTAGGCTCAGGAGGTTGGCTCATTCTTAAAAAAAATCTCTTTAAAAGGCGCTTCTTGAGGACACTTGAGTTCAGCCGTGCATTTTACCGGATAGGCGCAGCACAGACTCTGCTTGCATGCTCTTTACTTTGGACGGTGGGACAGGGGGCCACAGTTTATTTATGGAGAAAAAGGTTTAAAATTTAAATTATCCACTGCAACTTAAACACTCAGGGTTTGTTTCTTTTGAACAGACTCCTCAGACCCATTCTCAGGGTTCTCCAGCCTCAGATAATGGTAATTAAGCCACAGAGTGGTGTTTAGACCCTGTGCGATTTGCAGCAGAGCCACAAGCAGGAAAATCAAGATGTTTAAGACTGGCTTTTGAAAGAAGATCTAAAATTGCCATCTGAAGTGAATTTGCCTAAATCAGAGAGGCTTCAGCGGGGGGCCGAGAGGGGCCCATGGGGCCCTGGGCTCCGTAGCTTCTCCACGGGCTCAGCCAGAAATGCTGCCTGAGTGAAGGCAGGGGCAGGTGTCAGAGCTAACTGAAGGGAGGCTGGCTGGGCCGTGGTCAGCATGGGGGGCCTGGGCCGTGGCGGCTGGAAGGGAGAGGGCTGCCAGGGGAAGCTGGCCCCCGTGGACCTGGCCCGGGGCTTCTCCAAGGGGTCCCACATGGAGGGCGTGTGTGCCCTACACTGGGCTGGAGGACAGGGCCCTTGCTGTCACATCAGAGAAGCCCAGCGTCTCCTGCTATGCCCGTTAGGAACCCCAGTTTTTGTGCCAAGTTTTATATTCTGTTTATTCTTCTTGGGTCTGAACGTCCGCGATCCCTGAGGAGAGCTTCGCTGGGATGTCTTAGCTTTGGTGCACGTTCCCGCAGGTGGGCAACCTGGATAGGCTGGGAGGTCAGCAGAGTGAGGGTGTCGAGGACATGCAGGAAACCGGCTCTCTCCTCGCCCTGTCGGGGCTCCCGTGATTCTGTAGTTCTGTCTTCAGGGATAAATCCTAGGAAGGAGGAGGGGGCACGTGTAAAATGTGACAGAGATTGTTGACGGGATGTTGTTTTAACAGCGACAGACTGGGAGCCTACCTGATGCGCTCAGTACCGGGTCCATCACCTAAGTCCTGTTAGGCAGAGAGGTTGGGCTGATGCAGTTGATTGCTACTTAGAAACCCGCATCTGGCACGGGAGAAGTTTTATATACACGTGGGCATGAGAACAATTCGAGGAAGACACAGAGCAAACATTTGAGTCTGTTTATCTCTGGATACATGAGATTTTCACCTTCTCTGTGTTTTTATTGTTTATATTAAATATATATTATCTGGACAGGGATGGATGGGCTCCAGTTACATAACTGGAGACCAGGCAAGGAGAGCCTCGAGCCTGGGAGGCCGAGCCGCGCCTGGCTGGGGAGGGCGAGGGCCGGGCTCGCTGCTGCTGGCCTGACCCTCCGTCCGTGCCTCTCTGCAGTATTCCCGGCATGAGCAGGAGGAGGAGGGCCGGAAGCGGTACGAGGCCCAGAAGCTGGAGCGCATGGAGACCAAGTGGAGGAATGGGGACATCGTCCAGCCCGTCCTGAACCCAGGTAAAAACTGGGGTGCGGTTCTGGGGTCCCACCTCTGCTGCCAGGTGCCGAATGCGGCAGGCTCATGAACCTTCTCCTGGGGCCGGTGCAGCCCTTCACCCTGTGTGCTGTCCCGGGGGCTCTGTCCCCTGTCCCTACAAACCCATTCCCAGTAGCACCGTCAGCAGTGAGGGGACGGGACAGCTCTGGGGGGCCCTGCAGGCCCGTGGAGTATGGAGGCAGAGGCCCCACTGCCTGGGCACACAGGAGCGAGCCTGTGCATAGAGGTGCTGTCATGTCCTTCCCCCAAGGTGACTCAGGAGCACATTTCCAGCTCATAAAAAACAGGCAAATGGCAGCATCTCTTTCCAGTTGTTCCTCACCAGCCTGCCACTCGGATGTCTGCGGGCACGCCCGCTTCCTCTCCGGCCGCGTCCTCCCGGGCTCTTACTCCCTTGCCTGCAAGTCCAGGTGACCGGCGTTAGCCAAGTGTCTGTCCAGAACCGAAACGGAGAGGTCCAGGGCTGGTTTCCCTCCAGACGGGACTTTCCTTCCTGGGTCCTTAGCAGACAGCTCCCCTGGGGCTCAGACGGTTTAGGGCAGGGTCTCTGGGGGTGTCTCTTCCCATCAGGACACGGTAAGCCCTTGGGACGTGGGTCTTCCCAGTAACGTGGGTCTCCTCGGCACACACACGACCACGTGTCATTCGTGTGGAGAGGACTCTCAGGAACGTTCTGTGTGTTGTCTGCGGGGCTCCAGAGGGTGACACCTCTGGGTGCCCTGGACACAGGTGTGTTTGAGTTCCTGATTTGGTCCTTGACAGCGGAGGACCGTGTTGTGCCCTGATGTGCCCTGGGCTCTCCCCCCTCCATGCTGTGCCACGGCTCTTGCTAACCAGGACGACAGTGAACTCCAGGGCATGGACCGGACCACGTCTGTGGCCCCCTGCCTGCCCGCCTGGGCTGCAAGCCACATCCAGCATCAGGGCAGGGGCTCTGGCGACAACCCAGCAGGTGTGCGCCTGAGGACGGGACCGCCTGGGTTTCAGCTCCTGTGCCCTGGGTTCCTCGGGCTGTGCCTGTTCAGTTTGCACAGGATTCTGCAATTCTTTTGGTCTGCTCACGGTCCGCTCACGCATGTCTCCCCCTTATTCTTCTCACGTTCCAGCCTCAACCTGCCCACAGCGGAGGCTGGCGGCCTGTGCCTGGGGTGGTGTCTTCACTGTTCTTTTCACACCTGCTTTTCAGCGAACATTTCAGCCAAAATGATAAATTAGTTGTTGGTATTCATAAGAAAGAATGTGGCTGGAAGAGACGATCTGTTTATAACACAGTCACGCACAAGACAGGCCTGGGGTCACTCCTGGCGACTGAGGGCAGCAGAGCCAGACCCAGGCTCTGCTCTTGGGGGCAGGCCAGCATGCTTGTCAGGCAAAGACACGGAGGATGGCCAGGTGATATGAGCGAGTGGAGATGTCTGAGGAAAGGTACAGACTTGGTGCTTAGGGTACTCCAGGACAGAGAAGCTGGAGGGGGCTGAATGGCAGTAACCCTGCCCCCCGACGCAGAAGACATGTCCATCCCCAATTCTGGACCCTTACTTGCAGAAAGGGTGTTTGCAGATATAATCAAGTTAAGGATCTCGAGATGAGGTCATTCTGCATTACCCAGTTGGGCCCCCAACCCAGTGACCAGTGTTCTCATTAGACAGGAGGGGAGAGACAGTGTCAGCCCAGCCCCAGCAGGGACGGGCCGGGAGGAAGTCTGGACGACACGTGGGGGCTGCTTGGGTGCCCCTCTCTGTGGGCCCTTTCTGGCGAGTGCTTGGGGTGGAAGCTGGACTGAGGGTCGAGTTCAGTCCTGGATTCCTCCTTGACTGTCTGGGAAACTGAATATAATAATGCTCACGGTTTCCAGCCTAAGTCCTTTCATGCATGGGGTTATTTCCTGTTTGCTATCCTGTTTGTGAATCGGATACATAATGTTTCTCAGAATCTGTTATTCTCTGCTGTTAATCAAAGGTGACATTCTGAATCTCAAGATTTCTTTTTTTTTTTTTAATTTATTTGACAGAGAGAGAGAGAGAGAGCACAAGCAGCGGGAGTGGCAGGCAGAGGCAGAGGGAGAAGCAGGCTCCCTGCTGAGCAGGGAGCCCGATGTGGGACTCAATCCCAGGACCCTGGGATCATGACCTGAACTGAAGGCAGTTGCTTAACCAACTGAGCCACCCAAGCGCCACCGCCTCCTTTTTAAAAAGATTTAATTTACTTATTTGAGAGAGAGCACACACGACCTGGGGGGAGAGGGAGAAGCAGGCTCCCCGCTGAGCAGGGAGCCCAACACGGGGCTCGATCCCAGGACCCCGGGGTCATGACCCGACCTAAAGGCAGATGCTTTACTGGCTGAGCTACCCAGGCGCCCCCTCAATCTCAAAATGTCTTGATAGATTTTTATAAGCTTTTATTTTTATTTTTATATGTTCCAGTAAAAATGCATCTTTCTCAGATGACTAGTTTAGGGACTGGCTTTTAAATGCTTCTTAAGCAAGTCACATGCCCATTCCTTGGTGTTTTGGAATGCGGTCTGCATTTCTGACCTCAGTCTCTCAGTAGAACTGGCTTTGCCCTGGCAGGGCGGGGCTGGGCCTCTGCAGGCAGGCCTCCCAGTGCCCGGGGGAGGGCAGGATGGGCTCCTTGGGGCCGAGCGGGACAGGAGCTCAGCAGGAAGGGCAGAGCGTGTGCTCAGCACTGGGGGTCTTTTGAACACTCCAGCCCCTCCCTGTGGGAGGATCCCGCCTCCCCCCATATCTGCAGCTTTTAATTGTTTTCTCCATCTGACAAGAGAAAATACAATTTCCTTGAACGGTTTGATCCACAGCCGTCAGATGTCCAGCTTTGACCATGTATGTGGCCATCTGGAGCCATTTGGGGGCTGTCAGGTTGATGACAAAGAAATCCAGCTCCAGTTGCTGGGCTGGGCCCAGGCTCTGCCTCCCTGTGGTCAGCCCGTGCCCGGCCGCCCCTGAGAGTGCTTGGTGTCCATCTGGGGTCTCCCAGGATCTGACCAGGCCCCATCATCCTGCACCCATCAGCATTTGTTCTGGGGAGAGCAAGGTGTGAGGAGGCAGAGGTGGGGCGGTGAGGGACACGTTGTCTGGTGTCGGGCTGCCCGGGTTTGAATCCCACTTCTGCCTCCGTGGGGACTTAATCTCTCTGCCTCTGTTTCCTCGGCTGGAAACACAGGAAAGGGGAATCCTGTGTATGTTTATAGCTGTGTTGAACCTCTCCCGTTGCTGCCCCGGGGACCTCACTCAGGTTCTGGACGTTGTTGTGACGCTGAGACCCAGACATTAGGCACCATGTTAGCCAGGGTCATGGTAGCTGCTGAACCCTGAAATCCTAGTGCCTGACTTAGTAGAGGTTTATTTTCGTGAAGTCCAAACCAGGCGTTCCTGATCAGGGGGTGCCCTGCAGGTGGGGTGGACTCATCTTAGAGCTGTGCATCTTGAACAGGTAGCTTTCGGGGTTACCTTGGAAGGGGAAAGATCGGGGGCTCACCCATCTGGGGTTTGGATGGGTTGGGATGAAAGCAGGTAGCACTTCCACTCATGCCCTTTTGGTGGGAAGGCAGCCTGCAGAGGAGGCTCGGCAGTGTGGTCTAGCCATGCGTGGAGAAGGCGAGGAGAAGGGGCTGCCCAGTCCTGCCCGCTGACCACTGTGTCCTGTTTCTTTCCCTTGCCCGTGTGGGTCCTTTCACCCAGAATCCTGTCCAGCCACCACCTGACCTCAGAGAGCGGGATCTCGGATTGCGTGTGGTTTCTTGTTGGGTTTAGATGCAGTACCTTGTGGGCCAGTGGCTGGTGACCAAACCATGGGTCCCCTGCACCAGCACGGTGTCCACATGGAGATGGGACAGGAGATGAGAGACGAGGGGCAAACGCGCTCACATGTTCCCGGGGCTAGTGTGCTGGCAGGGGAGGGCTGCTCTCGGAGGGTGGGAAGCTCCTCAGTCCCCGTCTGCTCTCCGGAAGGGTCTTCCTTGTCCGCTATCTTCCACGGCCTCTTCTGAAGTGGGCGCCTGCTCGCCTACGACGGGGGACATCAGAGGTTATTTAGGGCTTGAACAGTTGTCTCTCCTAAACCTCGTGGGTGTTGATCTGTTGGCTTCCTGTCAGCTGCTTGTGACAGTCACACCCAGCATCCTTCCCAGACACGCTTGTCAAGCTCTCTCTGCTGGGTGGTGGCTTCCTTGTGGCTCTCTTGTGGACACACTCATGGGCTGAGTCGTGATGGGCTTTGATCTCTCTCCCTCCATCCCCAGAAGCAATAGGCTTTTCCCACCTTTTGGTGCCCCAGGTCTCTGGGCTCCACTCACTCTCCGTTATGCTTCCAAGCTGGCTGTTTCTTTCCTGACCTCCCTTGGTCAGTGCAGGAAGGAGAAGCTCCCAAGACCACTCTGACTCCTTTCAGCCATTTCCCGGGGTGCTGTGGCCCCATAGGCTTATCTTCAGGTTGACCAAGTGTCCCACCTTCTAAGCCCAGGGGATGGTAAACAGTGCCCTTGACCCTTAGAATAAAGGTTTTCCTTTGGGCGGGCCCCAGTTCTGGTGCCAGTCATGTATTTGTTAAGACAACACTGGCAGCAGTGACGGAGAACCCCCAAATCTCTGTGGCTCAACCTTGCACTTGCAGAGCCTTTTTACGTGTCACTGTGCTTCACCTGAGATACGGAGCATGAAGGAACAGGGGAGAGGCCACTGAGGATGACCGAGGGCAAGAAGTGTCCAACCAGCGACTGAACCAAACACACACACAAAGTAGACACAGGCCCACCCCCGAAGAGCCATGTGGGGGCCAGGTTCACGGCCAGGGGGAAGCAGGACTGGGGGGCAGCTATATGGGTGTATTGTTTTTCCCCATCAGAATAGTGGTGCTTTCACTTATTTAAAAGCTTATCAGTTCAAGTTCTAAGAAGATGAAATAATTAGACACGGTCTAATTGATACTTTTAAACATTCCTAGAAGACAGTAGGGGCATCTCTTCGACTAAGTTGTGATCATTATTTCAAATGGCTTGTCGTCTGAATAGATACTTGACACGAAAAAAAATTTTTTTTTTAAAGATTTTATTTATTTATTTGACAGAGAGAGACACAGCGAGAGAGGGAACACAAGCAGGGGGAGTGGGAGAGGGAGAAGCAGGCCTCCTGTGGAGCAGGGAGCCCGATGCGGGGCTCGATCCCAGGACCCCGGGATCATGACCTGAGCCGAAGGCAGACGCTTAACGACTGAGCCACCCAGGCGCCCTGACACGACAAAAATTTTTGTGTGCCATTTCCTGTGGTTTGAACGTCTAAAAATTTCATCATTAGCCACCTGCATAACTGTTAGCTGTTCAAAGCAGTTCCTGAGATTGGGCCAAATTTGAGACTCTTAGTTTTCGTTGGTGCTGTAAGAGTCACTTCTGTGTCTTTTATGAGTGGGACACAAACAGAGGCAGCGGAGTGTGCCCCTTGTTTCTCGGGGCCTTTCTGTTCTCCACCTGCATGCTTTGCAGAGAGACAGGGCCTAAGGGAGACTGTCTTTGAGCTCAGGGGTGCGGTGGCCTGTCTAGTGCTGGCTGGGGGAGTCTCTCTGACAGATGTGATGGCAGGGGGTCTTCATCAGTGTGCTCTGTGGCTCCAGCAGCTGTCCCCAGGCAGGGTCCAGGTGTCTGAACCCCCAAGGGCAGCTGTAGGCGTGGCCCTGGCTGGGTGCACCCTCACCAGCAGGGACTGTCCCCTGCACCTCCCATAGCACCACAGGGATTTGGGGGGTACGTCTTTTCCATTTCCGAGTGAGATGAGAAACTGGGGAGGGCAAAGTCCTGCTTCCCATCCCGTGCAGTGTGTCTGCATGTACTGCATTACCCTGGGGCCCAGCGTGGTCTCAGATAGATAGTCCAGGATGCTCTGGACACCCCTGGGGTCTGGGACGCCTGCACTGAAGGGGCAGCTGGGAGCAGCAGCTCCTCCCTTGAGTCAAAGCCACAGGCCATGTGCATCGAATGCCGTCCTCACGGACATCAGGGGACACCTGGAGTGCCCTTCCTGAGAGCATTTGCTGTCATCCCCATCCCGCCTTGCTCGGAGTCGTCGGTGTTGTCTGTTGGTTGGTTTTAGGTAGTGTCCTCGTACCCCAGCGCATGGAGGGACCACTTGCGAGGACCGTTTGACCCACATCCAGATGGGTGTGCTGGATGGCCAGGTCCCCAGAAGGTGGCCTCACAGGTGGGAATCCTCCACTCCATGGTGGCCCAGGAGCTCCTGACTCCAGGCCAGGAGCCTGAGGCAGGAGCTGGGAACTCACGTGGCACACAGCGAGCCAGGAAAGCAGGTGGAGGGAGCAGGCTAGCTGCGCTTGAGAAGGAGAGCCCTCTGTCCAGAGTCGGAGCCACTTCTCCGCTCCCTGTGCAGCCGAGGGCCCTGCCGGCAGCGTCTCACAATGGCCTCCCAAATGCCGCAGAGGGCACTTGACGCAAGCGCTCCAGACTCCTCTAAGCCACGAGACTCGAGGGCAAGTACAAAATGAATTTGGATTTAAATACTTAATGGACGTACTTAATGGACTCTTTTTACCCGGGCTCCAGTTTTCCTGCCTCATGACCCCTTCAGGCAACCACATGGTTTGAAATTCCGCACCAGGCAGGGTCTGGAGGTGATGCTGTTGCTCGGCCTTGCTGGGGAAGGAGTGGCCACCCCCTCTGAGCACCAGCTGTCCAGGCAGGAGACAGAGGAGCATCAGCCGTGCCCAGAAGGCTCTGGGAGGTGGAGGCAGCGGTGGGTCTGCTCAGAAGACCCTACACAGGAGCGTTGCCCGCACCTGTTAGAAGAGGCAGTGTTGAGGTGTCCTATCTGTCTTTTGGGACAGGGTTTTATTTCATGTGTTTGTTTAAGTGTAGCTTCTTTCAGATATTCTGGCCGCAGCCGGGATGGGGGAGGGAGGGAGGGAGGGAGGCCCCCAGGGATGTGGTGAGCTGAGGCGGTGAACGGGAGGGAAAAGCCGGCTTGCCTCTGGGTGCTGAGTCTTCCTGGGCCAGGTCGGAGCCCGAGGGCTGGCAGGAGTCCCGGGGTGCCGTTCAGGGAGGCTGGGTCTGCAGCGTCTCCATCTACCACTCTGTTCAGTGAAGAGTGCATGTGCACGCTCTCGAGGTTGCGTGATGAGTTTCTGAAACTGTCTGCAATTGTTTACAAAATTGTGAGTGAAAGCCAGAGGGATGACTGTCCAGACGGAGGGTCACCACAGCCCTGGGAGCACGTAGCTGCGAGGTGTTGACTGGCTGCCTGTGTCTTGGGAACGGGCCTTGCTGGGCACACTGGTGTCCCCAGGGATGGACATCATGACCCGCTAACAGAGTGGCCGATGAAACCTTGAAAGCCTTTCCTTCCACGGACTGGAACACGTGGAGACCACGGTTCTCCTTAGAGGAATCACACCTGAGCTGCCGGCACTTGGACGCCCTAGGCGGCCGTGCAGATGCCACGTGCTCAGTCATAGGCATCAATCTGCCCCACGGCCTAACCTCTCTCCTTTGTAATTCCAGAGCCGAACACCGTCAGCTACAGCCAGTCCAGCCTGATCCACCTGGTGGGGCCTTCCGACTGCACCCTGCATGGCTTTGTGCATGGAGGTAAGAAGTCAGCGGCTGCCGCTCGCTCATGCCTGCCTGTCTCCCCAGGAGCCAGGCTGCCGTCTGACCCAGTTTAGGCTCCAGTGTTTAACGAGTTAGAAGTTTAAATTTTTCAGAGGCTGCATAATAAATTACCGAAATACAGTCGGTGCCTGTTTTTTAAAATTGGAAATAAAAGTCAGATGGATGACTATCCTGTTGGAGGGTCACACGCAACCCAGGGAGCATAGAACCATGAGGTGTGTAGTGGCCGTGGGATGGGGCAAGGCCTTTCGGGGGACAGTGATGTCACCAGGGGATAACAGTGTGACCCACTAACAAAGGGGCTACTGAAGCATGTTTTTGCCTCCTGTGTTCTCATTTATTTCTAACTTTGGTCAGATTCCACTTTAAACAACATAGACCTTAAAGTTCGTGGCTCGGGAAATGCGGTGGGACATAGGGGGACTTACTCCAGGTTCATAGAAGGACGCTTTTTACTTTAGTGGGGGATGCTTATTTTTTTGCAATTTAAGGAAAACAGTAAGCATGGGCACAATACCATTCATTTACACTCTCATCTCCAATGCCGGGAGTACCAAGCTCTCTTTTCTTTTCCTCTCAGAAAACTCCTATTCATCCTTCAAAACCCAGCTCAAATGGTACCACTCTGTGCAGGGTTACATTGATATTTCTACCAGGCGAGGCCTCAGGGGCAGGGCTTGATCTTGTTCTTTGTGTTGGCTCTAGGGCCTCACACAGTGTCGAAGAGATGCTTTACAAAGCTTTACATGAGTGAGAGGCACAGATCACGTTCATGGGATAATGGGCCCTGCGCCTGTCAGAGTCAGAGAGTGGGCCCTGATTTGGGATATATTTTTAAAGTTTGCTTCTTTTTTAGCTAATCCTCTTTGGTGTTTTGTTTTGTGTTTTTTTTTTTTTTTTTTTTTTTTTAACTTTCATCATTGTTTTTCTCTTTCCACTAAATGTTGGCCACAGTGCCCTTAGGTCTGATTAACTTAGATCCTGCCCAAGGGAAGCTCCGCTTCATGACAAATGCATGCCCAGGCCTGCGCATGCGGTGGCGGTCTGAGTGTCTCTGTCCCATGAGGACAGCCGTGGCCCCATAGGCTTGTCTCCTCTTCTTCACCAGCCCTTTCCTGCCTCTTAGAATTGGGGGGCAGCCCCTCTTCTGAGCTCCCCATCGGGAGCCCAGGCCCCGTAACTGCTGAGAATCGTCTTTCAGCCTCCTTGAGCTCCATTCCGCTTAAAATTTGTGAAACTTTGTGCTAGAATTTTTGCTTGTCTTGTCCACGTGTTGGAAGTTCGGGAGAGGCGGCGTCTCCACCCTTCGCCGTCTCCTTGTTGACAAGCCCAGTCTTCTGTCTGCACCTCCTGGCGGTGTGAGTGAGGGAACTGTTGCAAATCTAGAAGCTGTGCTCATTTACAGAGCCTGAGCTGCTGTGTTTGAGGCAGGCATGTTTCTTTAAGAAGTGCGTTTAAGGAATGTTTATGAGGGCTTTGCAGTATTTAATGCCTATTTTAGTAGAGGTTTTGTGCCCACAAGTTAAAAAAAAAAAAAAAAAGCCTAATATTTTCCCCAAACGTAATCATCTCTAAACATCACCTAATAAGTCCTCAGGAGCGAGTGAACAAAATAAACACTGTGCTGAAAACACCTGGGAAGAACTGTAATTTTATGGCGTTTTCCTACAGAGAGAATGCTGTCCGTAAGAGTGGTGTCTAAACTCATTTCTGTCAAAGCCTTCTCTAACTTGTAATTCAGTGGATGCCAAGCGCAGGAGAAACGCGTGAGCTGAGATGAATGCTAATTCGGCTTTTATTCAGTAATTCTGTGCTGTGTCTGCGTCTTTGAAAAATTCTTCCCCCGTCCGATTCTCTGTGCCATTTACACACCGGGGAGTCTCGATCCTGCAGCCCAGCTCCTGCCCCACCGCTTAAGAGCACACGACATGGACGCTGGCCATGCTGAACTGGGGTGGGTAGGTGGCCCCATATGGGACGCAGGACTGCAGTTGGATGCCAGGTCTTTTGGCCTGTCCTGGGTGCGTGGACTGGCCCTCCGGGGATTCACTGAGGGAAGCAGAAGCCGAGGGGAGCAAGCAGGATCATATGGGGGATTTTGGTCCCAGGTGCCAGGAAGGAGGGGCCGTCTGCGTCCCTGTGGTTCTGATTTCAGGGTCTTGGCACAAGCTCCAGCCTGGCTTTGGGCTTCTGCCTTCCTTGAGTCCTGAGTGAAGCCGTGCAAGTCCCTTCCTTCTCCTCTGGCCTCCCCGTCCCCACCCCTCCCCCACTATTGGTTGTGTCCCCCGAAGGGGTGGACCCGGTGGGTATCTGGACAGGGTGTTTAGGTTCATGCCACAGTGAGGACCTTATAAACTCACCTGGACACCCATCCTCGATAAACACACTCAGTAAGAATAGGAATTGATGGTCCTTCCCGGACATGGCAAAACTCAGGTGTCTGAGCCCTAAAGGGAGCATCTTCCTCAAAGGGGGAGCTCTGAGGACTGTCCCCAAGGTCAGGACTGAGGTGAAGGGCCATACTCTCACTGCTCATTAACGTTGCTTTGGGGATTTGAGCCGCTGGCATTAAACCAGAGGGAAACTCAGGCACCGGACTTGGCCGAAAAGAGGGAAAGCTGTCTTTGCAGATGGATGATCCAAGAGATTCCATGATCAAGGTAATTCAGGTCGTTAGAGAATTCAGTAAAGCTGCAGCATCTAAAATGACCGATAGTAGTAATAAAAACACTTGCCCAAAATAGAAAAATGATTTTTCTTTGTTTTTGTTTGTAGGTATGTCTGTTTTCCCAAGTGTGTTTTCAGTTGAATTTTATTTATATCATGAAACACCGTTTTTTATAATTTGGTGAAAAGGTGCTGGGCTAGTTTTGTCTGTTTGTTTGATTTGTCTTCTTAAAGGCCTGTTCTCTTCTTCCCTGTTGGTTCCCGAGATGTTCTCTGCTGCTTTCTTCCTCTGGGACGCTCCCTGCCTGGTCCTCTGTTGGCTGTTCCACGTGGGCTTTGGGGGGGGTGGTAATCACTGTTCATGCCGGCCCGACCGTGACAATGGTGGGGGGCTCCCTGGGGTAGCCTGGCGTCCCGCTCAGGGCAGGCCGGAGGCGTCTCCACCATGAATTCTTCACTTCTGAACTTTTGGTGGCCTTGGATGTTTCTTTGGCACTTACTTCAAAAAAATTTTTAATTATTTTAAACCAAGATATTCTGTGGAAGTGGTCCAAGACGGCTTTCAACAAAACGCAGCTGCCCCTGGGGGGCTCCTGTACTGGCTGTGCTCCTGGTTTGTGGCCCCGTCTCCCCGGGGTTGCTCAGCGGGCCAGCCTCAGACCCGGCCTGCGTGAGTGCTGCTGAGCGCTGAGCCCGTACCGTGACTGCGTCTCGTCACTGCATCTCCCACCCGCTCTGAACACCCAGCCTCCAGTCCTCTGTGCAAAGCCTCTCGGGACAGTTAGGCCTGCCAGACAGCCGTTCAGTACATGTTTCCCTGGAGAGGGCTCCCCTCTGCCCCCTGCAAGCCGGACTGCTCGTTCCCTGCACCTGCTCCGCACTGCTCTCCTTCACAGATCTCCCATTTTCCGGGGGCTTCCTAGGAAAGGAAAGGCTCAGCTACTGTGCTGAAGTCCCCACACAGTGGCTTCTACCACACAGACGATGGATGTGTCCTGGGGGATGATGCAGAAGTCCAGGGCTCATCTGAAAGCTTGCTGGTGTTGGCGACCTAGGCTCCCCCTGCCTGGTCTGCCGTCCCCGGGGCGGCCCCATTTCTGTGGTGCTGCGGCACATGGCGGCACCAGCATTCCAGCCCGGACGGTGGGGTGGGCGGGGGGCTCCCAGGAAGCGGCAGCCACCGCTCACGTCTGCTGGTGGGTCTAGCTGGCCAGACACGTCAGTCAAACTCTCGAGTTGCTGTAGGAGAGGGGGAGGAGTGATTGGGGGAGCAGCTCTGTGGGGCTGGACCTCGCGTGTGTAAAGCGTTTTCTGGCTGGGTGTGGCAGTCTCTCCCCGGGACTTGGAGGTGCACCCCTCCTGGCCTCCAAGGTTCCTGTTAAGAGATGTGGGGAGGTCTGGGTTCTCTCCGCCAGCTCTCTGGCCGCACCTCTGCCTCACCCTGTTCCCTGAGCCTCCCTGCTTGCTCTAGCCTCTGCCTGGGGCCCATCCACAATCTTCCCACTGACTGCTTTCCCGAATGCCATTAAATTGAGTGGTCTGCAGTTTCTGGGCTCCTCTCGTTTGTGATGTCACCCCCCTACCCAAGCTTGGACTTCACAGACCCTCCCCTGGAGCCTCTGCTCTGCATGGCTGGGCCCCGCCCCCAGGGGTTCAGAGCACCCCAAGGGTCCGAAGGTCTGGGGACCATGCTGGTGAATGTCTGTTGCATGTGCTTGAAACCCGTCCCTGCAGCTCTGGCCACAGCCAGCTTTCTGAGGCCTCCTCCGCCTCAGGGCGCCTTCCCTGGGGATTCTGACGGACGGGTGGGCCTGGGTTACCAACAACCACTGTAAATGTGCAGCCCTGGGAAAGAGGACACAGCTGGGAACCGTGAACCGAGCCCCCAGAGCATGTTTCCTGCCTTGGAACACTTCTCATCTCAGAAATCTTCCTTGTTGTCTGCTTGTTCCTTAAACAGGCAGCCATTGTTGTGTTTCATGCTAACTACTTAAAAGCTGGACGACAGAGAACCTTGTTCTTAGAGTTAATTATTGTTGTCCTGTTAATTACCCCATGGAAGACCCCAAAAACCAGGAGAGGAAGGAAGTTTACAGACTCTCAGTCAGGGAAGGGTGTCGGGGGCAGCGACAGCTCTGTTCTGGACAGTCAGCCTCCCCACCGCCACAGCGCACACCTTCCAGAGCTTCTGTGAGAGCTGGACCTTCGGGGCCCTTGTCCTAGGGGCTGACCTGGGTGATTCTGGTCGCCTCTCCGGTACCTGTCCCGGATCTTTAGAGCGTCAGAGGAATGGACGTGGGATTGTCTGT